TCGGGGAATGCTACAAGCCACCCACGGATAATGACATCTCTACTAAGGAGCTTGACCCTCACCAACTTGCAAGTCAATTCTCAAATGGATCATTTCTAGCTCAAGTACCAGATGCGTCTTCTGAGAGACTCCATGGTCTTCACATTGGAATTGACCACAATTATGGCTTTTACGAAGGGTCGTCGGTGAAGTATGGAGATCTCCCCATTTGAGCTTAAGAAGTCAAGTTCGGTGAAACGATTTTTAAAGACGCGCTTGTTGGGAGGCAACCCAACGTTTTAGTTTGCGTATCTTTCCCTTTTACCCTTTTTTTGAATAATAGTTTAGTTAGAACCTTAGAAATGCATTGAAATTTACTGACATGACTTAGCCCTAACTTTTTGATGTTTACTTAAATGTTTGGATGAAATTTTGAATTGAGGAAGTGGAGAGAATGATTTGTCCTGAACAAGGCAAAGATCGCGGCCTTGAGGCTGAAGATGCGGTCGCGATATTAGGTGCCCTAGCACGCGATATTGGATTTTTAATTGATTTTGGATTACCATCATGTCCCATAGAAAGATAAGGTACACTTTCTCATGTTTGTTGTGTTTTTAATGCCTTATCTTACCTCACACGTGTTGAATGCATGGAACCATTAATGTCCATGTTATACCTAGGATGACATCTTTTTGGCATGGAAGTGCTCTTCTTCTCTGTAATGAACTATCTATGTTACTTTTAAAACTTTGGTGTGTTGTTCTCATGCATTTATGACACTTGCAAAAACCACCCACCAAGTGTCTGAAGAAAGTCCAACCACATAGAGTTCATTATTCCCAATCCTTTTGATTTGGTACCAACTTCATAGCATGGGGTTGACACTCCCTAATTGTTTCTACATTGGTTTGGGATATCCTTTAGTATAATATCTTTGAATTATCCCTCTACTTAACTTCCCCTTTACTAAATTCTTAGTTTCACTCAAGTGTGGGGGAAGAAACTAGGGGTCTAATTGTAGTTTATGAGAATGCTACTCTTTTGAAAATTGATTTTTGGATTGATGGGTTCTGCACATGTGAACAACTTGTTTTGTAGGATAAAATACAAGGCCAAAGGCATGGGACATGGAGAGAGTTCATCATCTCGCACCTCTCGCCCTTGCCAAGGTCAAAAGAAGGAATCAAGGAAATCCAAATAAAAAGAAGTGTTTATTGAAGTATCTCATCAAACATCACATCTGCAACGTCCACCGAAGGTATCACATCAAAATTATCAAGGAAATGTAGAAGGCGGCATCGAGCACATCATTCACTATTTTTTGGAACACGTTCCCGAGCAATTCAAGAGCAAACTTCTGTGGCTTCAAGGATTGGCTTTAGGCAAAAGTTCTTGTTTCAAATGGACACTTTTCGTCCAACTTTGAATTGAAGATGCAATCCGCTCTAAAGTACAGAAGTTGGCATGGCTCAAGTTACTCTTTATTCAAGAAAATAGCTACCGAGTGCTTGTTCTACAATTTTTAGTACTATCACTATTCGAGATATGAGGGGTGCCGCCGACATTGAAGATAACATCCAGTTCCAGCTCGAAGGAGAACATCACCATATGTCGATCCGGGAGTTCACTAGAGCAATGCACATCTACCCCATGAGTTTCATTGATTCATCTAATGACTTTGCTGCCTTGACAAGGAAATCTAACTTCCCTTGTTTCAAGACGTTTTATGAGAATGAAATCAAGAAACCCGATAGTCAACAATGGGGTATGAAGTTATCAAAAGCTAGTGAGGTGAAGAAGGAGTGGAGGCTCATACACCACGTGAGTGCTAGATCCGTGGGAGGTAAGAACCAGAGTAAGGGAAACCTAACTGCTCGAGATGTCACCCTAGTTTAGAGCATGCATTTTCCATGGTCTCTTCATCTCGGTTTATCCGTCCTTTCTATATTCAAGCGCTATGAGATGGATCACCGACTTGCTACACTTCATGGAGGAGTGTTTGTCACCCGACGTGTCAAATATTTTCAAGTTGACTTCGGAGCCATTCAATTTTGAATGGATAGACGGACCATTCCTATGTCCTTTGAGGTTTTAAAGTCAAAGCTTAAGGTGTTATACATGAGCAATGATAGCATTTGGGGGGGGGGGGGGGAGGGGGTTCAAGGATTCCCATTTCCAACCACCAATACTTTGTAGATGGTAGGGACAATTTTCTGTTTTCGAAAGTTAGAATGGCAAGGGACATAAGAGGTTTGGGAACTTAGGAAGATCAAGAAGAAAGTGTGCATGAAGGAGGAGATACACCTATTCCCACTCTCCAACCGATTCAACCACCGAGCAACAATGCAAGAGATTATAGGATTGCGGAGATGATAGCGGCCATCCTTTACAACCAATGGAGGGAGAAGGAGGCACGGCTCCACTTCGTGGCGTGCGTCCATGCGATCATGGAGAAGATGAGCATTCTGATGGACAATGTACATGCCACATTCAACCGCTTCACCTCTCCAACACCTCCACAAGATGAAGAAGAAGGACCCTCCGAGAAGAATGAGTTCTAGGCATCCAAGGCCTATGTTCTATCTTTTCTTTGCTTTTCTTCATTTCAGTTAAAACAATGTTTAATTATCGCTTTAATTTCTTTCTATTTTTCGTACTTTAATTACGCTATTAATCGTAGTAGTACCTATTATATATACTTATATGTCGTACCTATAACTACTATTTGTATTCCTCTCAATATTATGCGCTTTATCGTTGTGCAAACCACCAGGAAGACAAAGATTACACATTCCAGTTGACCGGGCCTAATTCTAATTGTTTTGTTCCGAAGCAAAGATATCCGGGGGGTGGTTCGTCCTATTCAGATATTCACGACTCAGAAGTACTGGATTCTCTTTCGGATAGGTCCTGAAAGGAGAAGTAAGGCTGGAATGCCAACAGATCTCTATAAATGGTAAGTCGCCAATCCCTAAAACCGACTATGTAATGTACTTTATCTTGTGAACCTTCACCAACCCACAACCCGACCTATGGTAACATTCACGATCTCACCTTTGGAAACTCCCACATTGAGGACAATGTGTCGCTTAAGTGTGTGTATGTGGGGGGGGGGGGGTGGTATGTTTGTGTATGTTTGAATGTCTATCATGATTGGTTGAACTTTTGATTGCTAGCATTTCCCTCGTTTGTGAATGTAAGACGTTGATAAACACTTGTGGGAGTGTGCTCTAGTAATCGTTTTTATGTTGTGGTGATGAATGGTGAAATTTTAGTGTTTTTGGAACCTTGAATACTACACCCAATTATTTTTCAAATTTGAGGGGTTCCAAAACACTTTGTCCTTACAATTACCTAATTGATGTGCTTTGACTTGATTAGATTGATTGATTGGCGGTGCATCTTAGGTGATAGTTGCATGGTTTGAGTATCAGTATGTGAGGGGTTCTACTACTTTCTTCCTCCTTTGTGATTCGATAATATTTGCTACTTTAGGAAGGCATTGTCTGCGGAATTCTGTTCTTTATGTGAAGTAGGAACTTTTTCAATTTGTGCTTGAAAATAGGAAAAGAGGTTCTCACGTGAATGGCAACCGGGCAAAGAATTGAGATCAACCGTTAAAGGATTGTTCTCTTGGCTCGGAGTGCCCTTCGGGGATGTGTTTGGGGTTTAGATAGCTTTATTGCGTCCCGACCATCTCTTACTGATTACCACCCCCCAAACACCTCTCCTCCTTACGGAATTGTATGCTAAGGACCAAAGGTACCTTTTAGCGATTCATGGGACCTCATAGATCTCGTTTGTACCCAACCTGTGTGGCAACCCAATGTGGAGTGCAGGCTGGGACGTGGTACTCGGGCTAAGACGAATCTGACCATTAACTTCCCCACATGTGACCTTGAAAGGAAAGGCTATGATTCATCCGCTCTTGGTCTTGAGGGAGAGATGCTATTATGCAAAGAAAAAATTGCCAATGTTCGATGCAATTTGCATGACTCAACCTAAATGCACCTATAACACCCCAATTTTTGGGTTAAGGTTCAACCCATAATAAACGTATGGATTAGGTCGATAATTTCACTCAATCAAAGATAATTCCAAGATCAAGGCCAATTGATTCGTTGGGCCAAATAACCTGGAGGGTATAAAAAGGGATTAAGCCCTTAAAGGGAGTTTGTTTTTTCTTCCCTAGGTAACGTACCGAAGCAATCCAAGGATGGTAACGGATTAAGAAATTAGGTGAATTAATGGGATGCAATTATTCCTTGGGTTGGGCCTATAATTGAGTGTAACGATCGGGAATGAGAGGAGGGGAAAAGAAACCTTCCCTAGGGACCATTCTTTTTCGGGGATTGCTAAATGTCGCCCTAACTTATGCAATCGCCCTAACTTAATACATAAGATTTTACTTTTATACCCTTTTATTTTTGTTGACATTAGCAGCCTTCACTACTTTGGCGCTGCCGGTACTCATTGCAGCTATACCGGCTACCGCCACCACTGCCCACTTCCGAAAATTGTGAAAAATGGCGACCAACATCTTTCCTAATAACTACTAGAAAAGCTTGATTACCATTTCATCTTCTATGTAGCATTAATAGTTCTCCATGGTTGCAGGCAATAATTTCAACTTTTACTAACTGCGGTGGTATAGATAGAAAAGGAGCAAGGATGCGCTTTTATAGAGGACCACAACGGTGGCAGGACAGGGGGTCGTTTGTTTGTTTTTGTTGGCGGCAAAGTCGTTTGGAGCGCGGTGATAGAGAGTTGTTTTGGAGTGCAGAGGGTCGCGCCGACGTCGACAAGGGGTCGTTTAATTGCTTTCTACGCCGGTGCCATTTAGTTGCTTTCCTATGACGAAAATAGTGGATTAGGGATTTTAAAGCTTGTTTGGTTTTTTTTTTATTTGGTTAATGAAGGATAATTTAGTAATTATATATTTTAAGTTAGGGCGATAACAGTAAAACTAGGGCGATGTTTAGCCATTCAGTTCTTTTTCTCGCCGCAAAGGAGAGGCACCGATGCGGCTCCTATGGAGGCGACGACTTGGGGAGCTAGCGAGGATGGACGCTGGGACAGACCATGAAAGGATGCCCGGAGGAGCAGATCATCCCTGTATAGCAGCGAGTTTGACCCTTCTATTTTCAGCGGTAAGAAAATCAGATTCGTTATTCACTTGTCCAAATTCATCCACAGTCGTGGTAGGGCTTGACGTCTATGTTGCTGACAAAATTCTCATGATGTTTGGAGGTTCTCGATGGAGTTTGGAGGGGAGCTTAGTGGATGGAGGGAAATCAGACTTGAGGTAGGTGGCTTCCTCCCCAGTCCACCTCAATCCTAGGATCGGTTTGGAATAATTAGTTAAAGTATTTGGATGACAACCGGGGCTAAGATCAGGTGCTAGGGGGGTCCCTTAGTCACATGACTAAGTCAATCTCAGCCATTGAGCTTTATTAAAATCTGATGGTTCATATTAATCTACTTTAATGAAGGGTAAGGTGGCAATTACATAGTTTATTTATTTAACAATTAAAATAATAATAAAAATATTCGCCACACCCTCAGCGCCTGTCCGTTTCTGGGGGAAAATATTCCCGCCGCCCCACGTCCTCCGGCGACCGCCGTTCCTGGGAAATAAATTCCCGGCGGACCAGTATTTTGCCCCTTTGGCCCATTACCCTGTTGGTGGTGGAGCATTATTATTTTTGCCCCATTACCCAGGTGAGAGAGAGAGAGATTTTGTATTGTTAGTATGCTTTGTATTGTTTGTCGGTTTATTTTGTAATGTTTGTACGCTTTGTTATTTTGTAATTTTGTCGGGTTTTTTTTGTAATGTTTGTACGCTTGGTTATTTTGTAATGTTTGTCGGTTTTTTTTGTAATGTTTGTAAACTTTGTTATTTTTGTGTACCGTGTTTATCAATTTTGTCAATCATGTTTGTAATATTTTTTATGTTAAAAAACACCCGGGTTGACTTTGGGAAAAGCCCCTCTATATAGGGATGGAGCCTCCAAAGTCAACCCGGGTGTTTTTTCAGTTCGTATGGAATGTCGGTATAGTTTATCATTTTTGTCCACCATGTTCGTACTGTTTGTATGTCTAAAAAACACCCTGGTTGACTTTGGGAAGGAGCCCCTCTATATAGGGATGGAGCCTCCAAAGTCAACCCGGGTGTTTTTTCAGTTCGTATGGATTGTCGGTATAGTTTGTCATTTTTGTCCATCATGTTCGTACTGTTTGTATGTCTAAAAAACACCCGGGTTGACTTTGGGAAGGATCCCCTCTATATAGGGATGGAGCCTCCAAAGTCAACCCGGGTGTTTTTTCTTTTTGTATGGTTTGTATTGTTTGTCGGTCTAGTTTGTATTGTTTGTACAGTTCATACGTTTGTAATGTTTGTAAATCTGTTTGTATGTTTTGTCGCTCTAGTTTGTACTGTTCGTATGTTTGTATGGTTTGTACTGATTGTAAATCCGGTTTGTATACTTCGTCATTTTTCATAATACCCAAACTACCCCTGTTATTAATTAAATAGCCCTTCCCACTTTTTAACCATTGAATTGAAGTGTCCAGATCTAATGGTTAGGAGGGGCTTAGTCAAGTGACTAAGTACCCCTAAGTATCCCTAGTCATGGGATCCGCTCTCTGACAACCGTGTCTTGATAATCATCACAGTTCTAAGAATCTGAGTTATTTGCTTGGTAGTGGTTAGAACACAACCGGGATTTCAGCCTGCTAACCATCATATATGGATCTATGTTGTGGCAAAAGAACTAATTTATGAAGGGTTAGTAATTCAGGGGCGTGGTGATGATTATGATTTAAGTAGCTCTGCTACATTTGGAAAATGGGATAATATGATTAGCTAATTGTGGAGCTTAGCTTACTAATTAGCTTACAGCAACTTCTAAGTGGTTTAGCTTTTAGTCCAACCTCACAAACCCCCTTTTTCCCTTCAAATCCGGCGACCAAGTAACCACATGGCCACTTTATACATAGGCTCTATTAGTCAACGTGGATGCATGTAAATGATGGATGGGTGGACATAAGTTACTGTCCATGCATGTGAGATATAAGTGAATGAGGTGGTCTTGAAATGTGACGGTTCTTAATGTTCGTAATCTTTCAGTGGCAAAGCTAGCTCAGACATGTCAAAGTAATGGTGAAAAGGTATATCTATCTAGCAGCTAGTTTGGAGATTGATTCGAGTTGATCCGCTTGGTAATAAGGTGAGTGTAAAGGGGTAATATCTCAGTCGTAGGTCTTTTAGCTTATGCTTTTATTTTCGGTAATGTTAGTTAATTTTTTAGTAAGCGTGATTATGTGTGTGAGGCATCCCACCGCCTACTTAAGGTGCACGCACTGTGCTATGTATGTGATGTATGTTTGTATGTAAGATGAACCCCTGGGCGGTTGGGCCACTACTGGACGCGGTAGTTGGTCGGATCACTACTGGACGGCGAGACGTAACGCAGCAGTTGATCGAGTATGTTGGGGTCACTACTAGACGGCGAGACGTAACACAGTAGTTGACCGGGCATGAACTGGACGGCGCGACGTAACGCAGTGCCATTGCCGAGTTTGGGTATGCAACCATACGACGAGACGTAACGCGGTTGACATACTAGAGTTGGGACACCGGACGACGAGACGTAACGCGGTGGTCCCTAGGTTTATGTGTATAAGATAAGATAGAAGTAGAGAACTTCTATGAGTTAAGGATTAGCAGAGGAAGGGTTAGCAGAGGAGGATTTCGAGAAGAGGCAAGGCGATGTGAGCAGCCGCACCAGCATTAACGAGATGTCAAAGAGCTAAGTGAGGAGTTAGAGTTAGACTTGTGCAGTTTTTTATGTTTCATGATTATGAGTATATAAACTGGAGATTCGAGATTTTGAGTTTGAGTGATTTTGTCGACTATGTATTTGAGGTCGCCCACGTGTTTAGGGCATTTCATTTGAAAAGGATTCCGCTGTATTTGTTTTAAATGAAATCTTGAATATTGTTTTTAATCGGCTCCGGAGCCATGGTTATTTTAGTTTGGTTAAAAGTATCGGGACGTTACATTTTGGTATCAGAGCCGACACTCCTCTGTTTCTTGGTCTCCAAGAAATACTGGAGTAACGATATGAGTTTTCAAGGTTTCTGTTTTTTAAAGAGAAAGAAAAAAAAAGGGTGTCAGTTAGGGCTGGGCATTGGGTGGGTCGGGTGGATTTTCACCATAAAATGTACCCACCCGCGCTTAAACGGATTGATAATTTTTAACCCACCACCCCAAAGAGTAGTGGAAAGTTAGACTTTAAGCAACGCTAGGGGCTGATAGGGAAGGCGCAAGGAGAAATTATGTAGGTCTTAAGGAGCCTGACATGTTCTCAATGTATCATTACGTCAGGGTTAAGAGGGCATGGACCTAGTGAACCGGTTCGACGACAAGACTAAGAAAAAAAGGAGACCACCATCGGGATAAAAGATGTACAGATTTAGGAGGGATTCGAGAGACCCTAAAATTTACGGTAGCCATGGAAGGTCAAAATCCAAGGGATACGAGGAGCATCGCCGGACTAGGGTAGGTTAAGAGTTAGAGTCTCAGAACTTGTCCAAGAAAAGTCATCAAGCCAGTCATCAAAGCTAGAATCAAGCACCGATAAAGGGGTAGTAAAAATAAAGGAAGTATAAATCCATGTAGTAGAAGGTTTACCACATGTAAGATTTTGAGCTAACGCGATGAACAAATTTCGAGGTCGAAATTTTCTTGAGGGGAGGAATATGATATCTCGGTTTTGGATTTAGGTTCAACAACAACTACCAAGTGAATTGGATCAACAATCACACCAAATCGGCATTTGGTTTCAACACACATTTGGGCCAAGTCATGAAATCAAAGGGCAATGAGTCACCACTTTCAAACTCCCAATTAAGGCCCAATATAAACCTTAACCGGGTGCAGTACATGGCAAGTATGTTTAAATATCGACCCAGGCCAGTTCATTTACCCCTACTTCGATTGTTTGTAACATTATCTAGCGGTTGGTTTTTGGTGAAAACAATAATCTAAAGCTAAAGTGCTTGCAAAGATAAATGGATTTGACACTAATTGAGAAGGCTTCACCGGGGTGTTGCTCCCCCTAGCTAGCAATTACGACTTGTCAGATTGAATGGGCGTGTGTGGTGAGGGTGTTGAAAACCGCAGGGAAGTGTAACAAGTAGCCAAGCGCCACTCTCTCGAACTATTGAATAAGGATTGGTTAGACTTCACCCTCGAATCAGAGTTCGGACGGCCACCCACAACCAAACCCTAGGTACCTAGGTTAGAATGACAATTGGATTGATAGGCTTTCACAAAACACAACACAATCATTCATGAATAATACCTCCACATTCACATTAAACACAACCACACACAAGTCATTCAATCCATACAAGCATTCAAATAATTGTAGCTAGGGTTTAAAAACACCCAAGTGAAAGAAGGGACTACTCCATGTTTGGAGAAGGGAAAACACAAGAGAGAAGAAGGGAAACCATCAAAGAGATGCTAGCCTTTTTCAACCTAGGTGATGTTTGTTTAGATGTTTGCTTGTACCCAAGCAAACCATTTTCAACCTAGGTGATATCTCAACCTAACAAGATAACTTGGGGACAAATCAAAAGGCACAAAGTGGTGAATCTCAATGACTATTTGGGTATCGACACATGAACCTGCTCAACAATAACGACATCCACCACAAACGAAATTCAATTGCATCAAGAATGGGAAATGAAAAGTTCCCACCCTGTTCACAAATAAATGCAAGGCTCGATCGAACTACTCACCAACCCCAACTAACCATGCATAGAACTCAAGTCCAAGGAACAAACAACGCGGCAACATATGTCCTCACCGTGGTAAAATATGACATGCAAAACAAGAATGAATCACTCACTCTTGACTAGTGGGGCCATAATCTTTTTGGTGCAAAAGATTTGCACAATCATCAACACTCAGCCCTATCGTCTCTCCACGACGGTGGCAACCTCTAAATGCTAGATTTCACGGGACGGTTGTCATCACTAGCTTATTCGGAGGTCTTAGACACGGGTTCAAATGACTAGCAATTGTCTTGGACATGGGGAAAAGGAATTTTGGGTGGTGGCAAACATGGCATGAGGTCCTACATCTTCAACCTAAAACCCAAGGTTCTATAGTCTCGACTAAGAACCATTCCTACAAACAACGACCACTAGCATCAGCGAAAAACCACACTTCCCTTCTTCCAAACACTACCAATAATGAACAACATTCAAGCACATTTCGTCGGCCTATCTTGCTATTCACATTTCAAACCTAGTAGTGAAAGAGGTCATCAAACAATTTAGGTGTTTCAATTGCTCGAGTGCCAAGAAACCCTTTCTAGACCATACACTTAGACTTTAGTGACCACTCTCTACTTTTATTTACCACGTTTTATTACCTCTTTTTTTCGAGGGGGGTACTAGAGTGTTAAACACATGCCACTTCTTCCATTTAAAGAACAATGCTATCCTTTTAAGAACCTTCCTCCCACACTACCTTCACGTTTCCAACAAGAACCGTGCAAAACCACCTATGTAGGACCTCAATGGAGTTCAAAAGCGAGAACTCCAAGATACAAGGATGACTCACACTTTGACATGAAGAAAGGATGGGTGGGGGTCGTTCTTTCAATCACCATTAAGATCTATCAAGCAGGAAGCTCCTAGCATTAGAATGACCCCCAAAGTCACCCGGCTTGACTAGGGATCCATCATACTCACTAGAGACAATAGTGAATGTTACAAACCATGGCAAGAGGGATCTGTCACACACAAAAAAGACGATCGACACAAAACTCACATGGATACCTAGCCGCTCAATCATCTATTCCAATTTCAAAAACTTCAATGCATGGCAATTGTAATCAAAAAGTAATCAAGTCAAGCCATCCATTCATTCAAGCACACACGAGAACTAAGCTTTTGCACATCCCTGATGCATTCTCAGTCATCTTAATAGGATGCACTCGATTACATGTAGCAATTCAAGATCGATGCCAAATAAGCACTAGATTCACCCACCAATCGGCCATTTCATGCATTGCTTGGAGCCCTCTAATTTTCAAATTTGTGGATACATCAAGGCTCCAAGCATTCATTCACGCCCACAAGCATAATAGTAAACTACCCCCCCCCCCCACACACACACACACTTAAGCTCGACATTGCCCTCAATGGAGCAAAATAGGGGGTAGAGCGATGTTACCGCATGGCTTGGTGAATGAAAGTTGGAGAAATTCTAGGCTCTACCACATGTCTCCCTAGATGGCTACCTCGTAGCGGCAAGCTCATTACTCGTCATCCGACAGGACGCCCTAGCATCGACCCATACTTTCTATGAGATTGTCGGTGCGGTCAAGCCGAGCAGTGAATCCTACATAGTGTGCCTCGAGGTGGGGTTAGGAGGTAGAGGGTCCGATCCCTGATGATGATGAAGGTGGTGTTGCGCTACGCCGACGGTGGCCGTGGGCTTTGGTGGGTGGCTGCTCCTGGGGAGGAACCTTTGGTCGGAGGGAGAGTCCCTCGATATAGGGAAACAGTCTGAAGACTTGAAGCAACTTCATGGTTCTTAAGGTGTCCTCCCTAAATCCTGTGGAGAGCCCTTCCTTTTTGCAGCACTCGAGGTCGACATTGAAGTGTCGAGTCAAGTGGGGGATGAAGGGGCCCAAAGAGGTGACGTAGCATCGACTTCCACTAATATCCCTGATGAAAGAGGTCGCAAGGACCGAGCCAAGGTGAAGTTGACTAGAGGGATTCGTCATTGAGGAGAATACTAGCAGATGCCGAAGTGAGGGATGGGACAAATCGGGTTTGGAGCATTTCCGGGAGGCAAAACTTATTGAACGAAGATTGCGCGGCAAAAAGTTTGAAGAGATCTGCCTCGCACACTTCCTCATTGCTTCAACAAACTAGTTGAAAGAATTCTTCATGGCACACCTCCCAAGCAAAAATTAACAAAGCGAGTCGATTGCCCCATTATGTCGGTCTCTATCATGAGGCAGAATGTGCTGAAGAACTCTACACACAGCTCCGTGTAGATGTCGTCTTCCAACTTGAGAAGCTGACGCCATTGTGGGTGCGTCAGAGCCTCTTGCATGATATATCCACAGTGAAGGCCATCGAACTGAGTGAAGTCGAGTTTCAAGTGGACTTCAGTCCAAGACTAATCCCAAAACTTCGCTTCCTTTTCAACTTTCGGCCACCTTCTGAGCTCTAGCAAGTACGAATGGCTCAAGTCAACCATCCTACAACAACATCCAAGACATACATGACACATGGAAGTAACTGTCAGTTTCACATCGAGTGGAGAAAAGATTTCCCCCACACTTATGCTTCCACTACAATCCTGTGCCTTGAAAGCTTATCACAAAACCTGCTTTTGGACAACACAACTTAAATGCTCACAAAGCTCATTGAGGCATGGTTCTAGGCGATTCACAGGTTATCCACACAGAAAAACAAACCTAAACCATACCCCAATGGCTTCCAACCATCAATCAAAAGCACTGAACCACATTCATTCACATTTTTGCACTTGATGGGCAATTTTCACATTCATCCATAAATTGTACCCAAATTTCAGCCCACCAATGTTCAATTAAGGTCATGCAACATCAAACATCATTCAAACACCTTAATCTGCTAATCTCTTGCCCTAATTTCTACATTCAAACATTAATTCACAAAAATTTACCTCACTTCACACCCTAATCCGATTCTCGAACAATTGATAAGAAAACTTATTCGGGCTCAAATGTACACATTGAGAAGTAGAAATAATTACAATTCCCATCACCAGGTCGCCATGCGTCGGACTCCGGCCATAACATAATCGACAGATCCAAGATGTGGAAATATTATTCTATATTGTATTTCTTATTGTTTTTTCTGTCAAATTTTACCCCTTATTTCTTATTCGTTTAGCTTAGTATTTCATTGTTCCTCGACGTAATCCACGTTAGGTTGTGCTTGTTTTGATATATTTCAGGTCCTAGCACGTGTGGAAGGGCCGAGGTCGAATTTTGGGATAATTGGAAGTCAAAAAGTGCAAAAACTGAAGAAAAGTCCAAAGTATCGTGCTAATTGCCTCTTAATAGTGAAGTGAAGGTGTCCCAGGAAACAACCGCAGTTCACGAGCGGGCAAGACAGTTCATGATCTCCTAAGACCATGAACTTGGACCACAAATCGTGAACATTGAGCAGTCCAGTGAGGTTCCAGAAGTTACTCACGACAAGGCAGTTCACGGTCTCTAAGACCATGAACTGGGGCCATTGACCGTGAACCCAGGCGAGTGGGTGCGTTCTGGACGACACTAAGTTCACGGACGTGTTTAGGTGTTCACGGCCATGAACTGGCCAACGCATCCGTGAACTGATCGCTTTCGGGCAAATATGAAGACAACAATGGGGAGAGAGAAGGGAGAGCTAGTTTTTGGAGAAGGAACACTTTCTTTCTCTAGGGTTTCAACCTAAAACACTAAAGGGGAGCTCTAGGGAGAGAGGGAGGTGCTAGTGTGATTTTAGAGCATCATTGGAGGCTTGGGTGGAGATTCAAGCCTAGAAGAAGAAGAAGAAGATCTTGAGCTCAAATTTGTAATCCCTAACTCTCTCTCTAGAAACTCACTCTTTTCTCTTGGGTGTTGTATATCTCTAACTAATACTTTGTAATTACTTGTTTAGATTGAATGATTGTCATTGGGTATTGTTTAATTCAATGATTGAGGTATTATTCATGTTGATTGTGCATGCTTGTGCTTAGAAATCTAAGGGTTGTGCATATTTTGTGCTTAGAATCCTTAGGTTTGTGCATGTTGGTGCTTAGAAACCTAAGGATTGTGCATAATTTTGCTTAGCATCCTTAGGTTTGTGCATGTTGGTGCTTTGCAATCTAATTAGCCACTTTAACCTAGCTTAGAGAGGAAAATCCCCCTTCCAAGGGAGACTCAATCGAGTTGGTTTTCCTTTAGCTTTTTAAGCCTCCTAACTAGGTTAATTTAGGGCAAACCTCAATGTTGAATTATGTTAAATGGTTAAGCACGATTAAGCCGTCCACCCCTTGAGTTGAGTGAGGGAGTAAGTCAACCACCGATTGCCTAAACCGAGAGAGCCGAGTGACACTGCCTATAATGTTTACCTCAGTTTAGAAATTGGGATTGTGGTCTACGAACATATATGTATCCCTCTGCGGTTCGCGGTTACCTTGCCCATAGCAATCGTTCCAATCCAACGAGTCTTGGTAGGTAGTTAGGGGGAAGCAACTCCTGGGTGAAGCTCCCTTAGTTGGAATTTTCCTTTATTTACTTTTCTTTGCTTGTTTAGTTTTGACTCGCATGAAAATACAACACAATTAAACCACAATTAGAGCCCAAGTTTTTAAACTCTAATCGGGTGAAGTATAGGACAAGTATCTATATATCGACTCGGGCCAGTCCGTCTACCCCTACTTCGGTTGTTGAAATCATTATCTAGCGATAAAACTTTGGTTTAAAGGTTTTTCAATTGAAATGAAAGGAAGCAAAGTAATTTGATTTGAAAACGCTTTTGTGGGAAAGACACTTGGGGTTCGCTTCCCCCTAACCGCTACCATGCTACGTGGGTTGGACCGATTGCCTTGGGCATGTTAATCGTGAACCGCATAGGAAAGCATATGTGGTCGGAGACCACAGTCTCGATTGCTAAACCGAGGTGAGGATTAAAGGTCGTGTCACTCGACCTTCTCGGTTTAGACAATCGGTAATCGGCTTACTCCCTCACTCAACTCTAAGGTCGGACGGTTTAACCACGATTAATCAACTTGTTCAATTCAATATTGAGGATTTCCCTAACTCAACCTAGTTTAGGTGGCTTGGAAAGCGGAAGGAAAACTAATTCGATTGAGTCTCCCTTAAAAAGAGGGATTTTCCTATCTAAACTAGACTAAGTTGGCAAATTAGATTACTAACACCTAAGTGCACAAACTTAGGGGTGCTAAGCACAATTATGCACAATCTCTAGGATGCTAAGCACGAAATATGCACATCCCTTAAGTTGCTAAGCACAAGCATGCAAAATCATGGTGAATAATACCTCAAACATTAAATTGAATAAGATCCAATATCAATCATCCAAACCAAATACAACAATATGATTTTTCTATGCAAAATTTTTTGAAATTCGACGTAAAAAGAATGTACTATGGTCCTTTGAATTTTCGTAGAAGATTTAATAAGTGTCAAAAAATTTGTACCTTCCCACCCAAAATCTGGGCAGACCCTTCTTTCTTTTTCTCCCTGCCCTTTTATAATATTGATCACTAGATCTCCCATTCGAAAATTACAACCACTAAATCCAATTTTACAATTTTACGAAAATTACAACCATGCGGGCAGACCCTCCTTTTCCCCTCCTACCCTTTTATAATATTGATCATTAGATCTCCCCTTTCCAAATAATGGGGTTTTGTCTTTGTTTTCAGAACCAGACCGAAGGCTGAATAAAAAAGTTAGTGGTTTAGGGTTCAGTGATTAACCGTTACAAAATCATGGGTGAACCGTTGATAGAACCGTTCATGATATATAACGTATAAGACTTGCATATTACACCAAATTTAAGAATGAAGTTATCATTGACCATAAACAATTTCAAATAAAATTACACTAATTTTAATTCAAAATAAAATTACGGTGCTAGTTGGTTGTAGACAACGTAAAGCGAAAACCAAGTTGGAAAATGAGAAGAGGAAGCATATATAAAATTAATAATAATGGTTTGATGGTCTTAGTTTGCGTCAAAATTTTTTAGAATATTTTTTTGTTAATATAGTGAACCAGTGGAACAGTTAAACCGTAGTGGTTCATCTGGTTTTATGTTGAGCAGTGAAAAATTGTTTGGTCCATCAATAACAGTTCAAGCAATTAACTGTACCGCTATCATAACTGATTTGCAGTTCTAATGGCCCAACCGTTGATTCAGTTCTATTCTTATAACTATGGGTTTTGTACAATATCCTAAGTCTTTTTTATTTCAAATGACATATTTAGTCTTAACCAAAAGAATCAAATAACTCAAATAATCTTGTAAATTTATTAGTAAGGGTATTATAAATACAAAATAAGAGATAAAATATGAAATACAAAATCTTACAAATTAAAATATAGAATCAGTATGGTTATGAGAGATTTCATATCTCAATTTTAGAACTTTTAAACTTATAAAGGTAAAATTCACAATAAAAAAGCAGCAAAAAGCATACTTTCTACTAAATTATTGAATTCAATGAATCCATGGTTCAAATAATTTTCTCTAATCCTACATTCATTTATTATCACATCATCCCCGTAACAAACCAGACATGTCGGTTCATATTCTCTTCTGGCTGGAACTTAAAAGCTATTTCCATCCGCTGGAACTTAATACTCATTTACGAAGAAGAAAGGGAATTCTGGGGTTGATGGAATCAATACGACTGGAGTTTTAAACTAAATTAGCATGTGCAAGTATTCTAGGACCCGTCCCGTTGTTAACGGTTTTGCATCTCTCTGTTATCTTTTGCATTATCTGTTGACCAACAACTTCCATTATTATATACCTACAACTGATTCTTCACCATCGTGGCTCAATAACGTCAGCAAAATTCAATTTTTAACTCTCTGTTATCTTTTGCATTACCTTCTTGTTTTGGTTTCTCGGATTAATTTTCTTGGTCAATGGTCATCATATATTCTGTCCATGTAAGCAACATGACTCCCTATATGCTGCTAATTAATAACTATATGGTCCAATTATTTGGGAGGCGGTTTGACCACGATCCGCTTCACAAAACCACAACAAGCAGAATCCGATCTGCAACGCCTTCTTTATGAGGTGTAGCTGATAGCCACACTATTACACTTAGATGATTAGCAGGTATATGTTATTATCATCTCAATTTATCTTATGCTTTGCATCAATTATTTATATTTTAGATATTTTCACTTGAAATTGTTTGATATTTTTTCCAAGGTGCATTTAGTTGTGCTCCTGCATATTCTTAGTTTGAGTAGTTTAATAAAGAAAGGGGATTTTCATCGGAATTAGGTTAGGGTTACTTTTGTGTTTACGTTCCGGGGGACCACAGAGGTAAAAGAACTAGTTGTTTCTTCAATTGAGCCTTAAATAAATCAAATTCAGGCAATTGACTAACAACCTTATACTCTGTTAAGTATGTGCAAATTATTGTCAATAGTTAGCACGTGTCAACAACTACCCCATTCTAAACTAAACTTAAATTAAGATGATATTGTTGTATTTTACTCGGGTCATGATACCTTAACTTACTTTTCACCTTGTTGTTAATTAGTTAATCGGTTTTTTAGAGGGGAGAATTTGAGAAAATTACTAGGTTAGAGATTGATTAAAGATAAAAGCAAGTATTTAGGAGAACTATCCCTCACCCTAGTCTAGAGCTACTATGGTCTATGTATGTCTAGATACTTAGGGTTATCGAATGTAGTGAGTGAGCTCGTTTCTGTAGGCTTTCGTGGTTATCCACACACCCCCGAGTACGCCTCCCCTAAACCCATATAAAATCATCTTGATGTAGCCTATCGTATATGGGGCACTAAGCTCGTAGCTCTTTTCAATGGATACTATCCACCGTCTACACCGAGATTTTATCCCAGGTTCTATCTACGAAGGCTACCTATAGCAGGGGTTTGGTCGCCTCGACCACCATAGGTCCTTATTCATACATCTACCTTGATTTTCTTGATGGCGCATACTCGTCTAACCCTAGAACTTCATACCCTGCGTAGAAGCATAAAGTAGGCTAATAGAGAAGATTACAGATACTTACCCAAACACAATCAAATGTGGATTAGCAATAAAATAACCTAGATAAACAAATCCATTCATTCAAACCCTAAAATATCCATACATACATAGTAAACCCTAAAATATCCATACATACATGCCTCCACTCTTCTAGCTCCTTCTCCTTCCTTCAAATTCTCTCTCTTCTCTTTCTCTAAAACCAGAAATTCTTCTCGCAAAATCATCTCATCTAAAGGGGGAAAGGGTCTTCTATTTATAGGCAATCAGAGGACGGAAAAGTTCGCGGCCAGAAGGGCAGAGATCGAGGGTGGGATCTTTAGAGGTGAGCGAGTTGACTTTGCGGTAACAATCTGCGAGTCGCGGCCGCGATCTTCCTTGCGGTCAAAATGCACTGTGGCCGTGATTCGACTGGGGAACCTTTCTATTTGTCCTCGACTTCTTTTTCGCGAAGTTTGCACCCTGAGCCCTCCAATTTGAGGTCCTGATCTTGGGTTTCTAGGCCGCGATCTTCAGCTTGAATTCGCGGTCCAGGACCTTGGTTGTGATCTTCGCTTTTAGGCCATGATCTTCTGTCTTCTACCCCCATTGCTACACTTGTGACCTTGTTTTGTACATAATTTGCATATATCGTCTAATACACCCTGAAATCACATTAAATTCAAATAGGAACGGAATAGGGATGCAATTGATGATGTTTAAGCATTTATGCACAAGAATTGGCATGAAAAAAACCTCAATATGAAGGGTACATAACACAATTTAGGTGTTATCAAACTCCCCCACACTTAGTCGTTTGCTTGTCCCCAAGCATACCTACTCAAACCTAATGCAACATGATGGACAAATAAATTGGGAATGCACTCTAGTTCTTCATTGCATAAAGAAGAGTAGCCGGAGACGAATGAACGTTACTATCATCTTACTGTGCAAGCACAAACTCTCGGGTGAGGACCATACCTACTACCTTATGTCGAACCTTCAAGGTGTGCTCCGTGGTATTCTATAACACAAATAAGCACAAGAACTCTAGAAGGTGCTCTTTATTCTCTCTTTATATTTAGGAGTTGTCATTTATTGGTCTCTTTTTTCAACGTTGGCGTGCATTGCACCAAGCTTTTGCAATTCTTTTTCAAACAAGCATATCTCCCTCATGACCAAGAGCGGATGAATCATAGTCTTCCCTTTCAAGGTCACATTTGGGGAAGTTGATGGGTGGATTCATCATAGCCCGAACACTACTTCCCAGCCTGCACTCTACATTTGATTGCCACACATGTCAGATACAAATGCGAGCTTTGTGGTCTCATGAATCACTAAAAAGGTACTTTGGACCTTGGCATACGATTCTGTAAGGAGGAAAGACGCATGGGTGATGGTAAGTAGTAAAGATGGTCGGGACGCGGTAAAGCTATCCGATCCCCAAGCATATCCTCAAAGAGCACTCCGAAACCGTGAGGATTGGTTGACTTTCACGTGAGCCTCATTTTCAAAAGATTTTTCTGTCTTTTCTTTCTTTTCTAATGTGACAAATCTCTAAAAGCTTCGAGTTCAAAAATCAAACAAAGCAAAAGAGAATCCCGCACACATGTTCTTC